GTCCTTCTCATTATGAATCATAGAAGCTGTGTTACTCTGTACCACAGATTAATGGGACAGCAGTGCAGAATCCTCTGGTTTCAAATATTTCTTCAGCACTAAAGTAATCCAGTGACACTTGTGTGTGTTTCCACTACTCAGTAAACAATAGCTGTTGATATTCACTAAACGTTATCTTTCAGACTGTAAACAAATGCGCTTTAGAAGAGCATTTCTGTCGCTGGCACAGTGTGACTCAGTTTAACACAGTAACCTGAAGTGTCCATCAAAGTGGCCAATCACATTAGCCCATCCTCCTTTGGGCTCTGCCTCCCGACAGTCAAGAGAGCAGCGAGGTACCTGCAGGACTCTGAAACTGTAGCGGTGCATGCAAAGCAGACACCCGTGCGTGCACGATGGCGTCAAAGTCATCCTGTTCCACAGGACCACGGCCTCAGTTAGAGGTGACAACTTGCTTCCCCACAGTTGCAAATGCAGTTTGCCTGATTGTGTGTTGGCAGGAGTGTTGATGAGACTAGTGCTTCCTGGCCAGTTTGCAATCACCACATTGTCTTCATCACATTTGTTTTTCAGTGCATGAAACAGAATCATAGAGGAGGGTGCCCAAAATATTTCTCACAGTTCTAGCTGTACACAGGGGTTCTTGAAAGGTTGTGAGTGCTTCAGGACTTTTATTACACTGTAAAGTTTCACCTATGAATGTTTATATACAGATGTTGTTTAGCGATTGTGTTTTGAAAGCTAAATGAGACTGCATGTTGCTTTGTAGGTCAAGGGGCCGCAGGCCACGGCGGTCACGCTCGCGGTCAGCGTCACAAAGTCGGCGGAGGGTTGCATACAGCCAGAGAGACCGCTGGAAGCGTGAGCCGAGCCATTCGCCTGTGCTAATCCTACGCAAGAACAGGTCGCCCTCACGGAAACACGGCAGCTTGAGCAGCAGCCCTCACCGCATCAGCGAACTGGGTCAGATATTATGAAGTCACTCGTGTGAATGTAACACGTGCCATTTTCCCTTTTTGTTACTCGTATTTTGGTGCTATTGTACGTAACAAAGATGGTGCTGCTGTCATAAAGTAACTGTAAAATAATTAGCGCCTGATTTTTACTAAGTGCCAGTTTTTACTAGAAAAAACCTCTTGCATGAAGTGTTTGCTTCATTTTTAGTTGCTCACCTTTCCTTTTCAACTTGATGCTTTTTCCCCCGTGATAAAGCTCAAGTTTAAATACTGTGAGAACAACAATGCTGTACTCTATCATGAGTCAGTACCAGTAAATATATGTGGGATCCTGTATATTATGGGCTGGCTGTGAACTCCAAGTTAGTATGAATGTTGGATTGAAACCACTTACGTGCTCGTCTGAATGATGAAATAGGCAAGTAGTTGAGATTACAATTTTCTTATCTTCTTTACCGCTAAAATCATATGCTCAGATTTCTATTAAAAAAAGGAAAATAAAACTGTATGTAGCTGTTAGAAACTTCATATTATGTATTATGTCTAAAAAA